GATACAGATACAGATACAGATACAGATACAGATACAGATACAGATACAGATACAGAGATATCTATCTCTCGTCATATTTTATTCCCTTTTACACATTAAATGTTTTTTATTCAATTTTTCCCAACTGACGAACACCTGCCCTTGTCCTTGGCCTCTCTGGCACCTCTTCAGGCTGTGTTTTCACAGTTCTACATTGAATTTGAAATTCAGCTTTCATATAAAAAGTTTTCGGGCCTTCTGTCTGCTCGAGGTGCGGGGCTTTGGCTACGTGATTTAATGAGCTGTTGATTTGCCAAATGCGCGTGAGTCAATTTACGGGGGGCACAAACAGACGCTGGCTTTGTGAAAGAGAGACAGACAGATGGGGGGAGGGAGATGGCCAGTGCATATATTTGCTGAGAGCAAACAGGAGGCCAAGCAAGAGGCAGCTAACTCATATTTGGCTTTTATGCAACGCGTTTGCAACAATTTCAGCGCCGCCGGACGAGGGCACAAAAATTATTTAACATGTAAATCAAGGCGAATCTAACAGAGCGAAGCGCAAACTTTTTTAATTTCAAAGCAAATAGCGCGCCAGTCGAATGTGGCAGGAGACGGGCAGGCGGCGGGGTGCTCAGGTCAGCTGGCCAAATGGAGAGAGGCGTGGGCGTGGCAGGGCATTCATCTGTCTGGCTGGCATTGCCAAACGCTCGCTGATTATAGTCACGTACTTGTCAGCGCCAACTTTAGCATCTACAAGTAATTATGTGTGTGTGTGCGTGGGTGTGCCACTTACATGTGCATCACATGCGTGCCTCTGAGTGTGTGTGTGTGTGTGTGTGTGTGTGAGAGAGAGAGAGAGAGAGCTTGCTAGCAAATATTGGCGCTCAACTTTTATTTACGCGCGCTAATGTTCAAGTTTTCAGCTAAAGACAAATATTAAGAATTCTAAATCGCTACCAGTCCACGCCCATTCGCCTCCGCTACATCCCTCTCGACACTCAGACACACATACTCATTTAACTGACAGTTAAAATTACAAACGCTTATCATGTACCAGAATCATATCATACGGAATAATTTATTATGCTCGACGCTTAATGTAATTCCCGAGCAGCGAAATTGGCGCTGAGCCATGTGTAAGTGAGTATGTATACGTGTGTGTGTGTGCGTGTTTGAGTTAGAATAAAGTGCGTAACATACCAAATGAATATGTGCACACACACACACACACACATACACAGCTCTATTTGCTCAGCTCGTTTCATTCAGTTGAAGAGCTGGCATAATAGACAAGCGCCTAGCTCCCAGCGCTCTAAATGTATCTATGTAACTAGATAGTCTCTATGTGCGAGTGTGTGTGTATATATATATATAGATGTGTGTGTGTGTGTGTTGGTATATGCTGGTTTATGCTCTGCACCCTGAGGTTAATTAAGATTTTGCCATGCATTCGTTTCGACATTGCGCGAGGGCCTCCACTCGCACTGTAATTGTAGCTGTATCTGTATCTGTAACTGTATTTGTATATTTATTTGTATCTGGATTGGGTTCGTCGTGGCCAAAACGTCTCGCCAGCAAAACTTTTTATTAAGTAGTTGTAATCCCTAATTAAATGAAACTCGCTGTTTTGTAATTAAATGGCGCAACTTATTATATAAAATTCACATTTTGTTGGGGATTATGAAAGGCAAATGTAAAAAAGGAAAAGAAAAAATATATATATTTATAATATATGTATCCATTTAAATAATAAATATCCAGGTATTCATTTAAATAAATATAAGTATTATTTATCCATTATATATAATTAATTTAAAATAATTAAGTGAATCAATGTGATACAAATTTTAAAATATTTTAATATATTTTTCTTACGTTTCCATTTAAAGAAATATAAGTATTATTTATCCATTTAAATTATTATTTATCCATTTAATTATAAATATATAATTTATAAATATATAATTTATATATATAATTTATATTTATTTAAATAATAATTATATTTATTTAAATAATACTTATATTTATTTAAATAAGACTTATATTTATTTAAATAGAAATGTAAAAAAATATACATTAAAATATTTAAAAGTCATAAAAATCACATTGATTCATTTTAATTTAAACAGCAACAATTAAATAAAATGGATGATAAAAGACAAAAGATTTTTTTTATTAATTTATTATAAATAAATAACAAAAATAAAAATATATATATATAAATAAAAAATTTAAAATACTTACATGATTTATTATAATAATAAATGCATATATTAATAACTTTTACCATATATAATACTGTTATACCATTGACATTTGATGCTATTTATGCATACATTCGGCATTCGTCCTTGAGTGTCCTTGAGCATCTGCCATCACATTTAATGAGCACCTGAGCATATGGCAGCGCTCGTGGCTAAACAACAGCTCTTTCTTCTAGGGCAAATAAATGTGCATACAAATGCCGCACATAATTTAACAAAGTGAACTACTTACTTGCCCCAACAGCCGCCACTACAGAGCAGCAGCAACAACAACAACAACAAATACAACAATAATAATAATAATAATAATAACCTCGTTGGCCGCAGCAGCAGCTCTAACAGCTACAACAACAACCAAAAATAAAAAATAATAAAAACAAGCACAAGCACAGAGTGAGAGCAGAAAACATTCGACTTTATATTGTGTTTGCGGTTTTCTTTTGGCGCTCTCGCAATGTACATAAAACTTTTTCGAGGCACTACAATGCTTAATGCACTCTCTGACATTGGCTGGTACTCCCAGTGCGCCTGGTACTCCCGGCTAGCCCTTTCTACCCCATGTAGACCACCTCCCAGCACCGCCACGGGGCCTCGAACCGTTGCCGAAACAACCAAATGAAACTCAAGTGCATGTTGCGCTGGCCAAGTGGCACGAAATACAACAGCAAAAAAAAATAGAGAGAGAGACAGAGAGAGAGAGAGGAAGGGAGAGAGAGGAGAAAATGCAAAACAACAAAAAATAATAATAAAACACAAAATGCGAATGAAACACAGTCGAGCCAAAACAAGAGCATGGGAAAAGGTAGTAGCTGACTAGCTGATACCCTGAAGTTGGCAGAAATCCATCAACCTCCTGCGCTCTATAAATGCATGGAGCATCTTTAAAATGAGCCATAAACAGTTTGAAAAACTTCTCAGCCCTAACCAGCAAAAGTTGATAATAAATAATATATATTTATAAAAAAAAAAGGAATAAATTTTTTGTCTACAATTCGAGATCTAACAAAATATCTCCAACAAGTATCAGATATTTAAAAATGTCTTCAAAATAAATATACATGTTAAAAAAAAAAAAAAAAAAAAAAAAAAAAAAAAAAAAAAAAA